GGCATCCCGAATGTTTTTTAAAAAGAGTGTATCCTTGATGTTGCTTGGACAGGGTGAGAGCGCAGACTGATTTTTGGCGTACCCCCACTCCTAAAAAACCGGTTCAGAGCAACTCTAACCACCTACCTCAGGCTCCACCAGGAAACGCACGAGCTTTACTGTATATTAGTACCGTCCTAAAACTATGGGAACAGCCCAATTAGCCTACATCGTTCCCAAAATTTGTTTGGACATACAAAATTAGTATTGAATCTATTGTACTCTATTTTAAAATAAACCACAAATATGAGTAGGCATAATACGACTAAACCTTCCAAACTTAATGGGAATGGATAGCTCTACAAAACTACAGGTACCCGTGCCTAACATTTTGTAGCTTGCCAGACAAGTGAGTACCCAACTAAAAGGTATTGTAGGACACTGGGTTTTAGCCAGTCTCCTGTCAACTGGACAGTAAGCTACTGTTTTGGTCTAATCAATGACTAAGCAGTCTAATGATTTAACTCTTTTGACCAAAGATCGAAGGTAAATCTCATCTCAGTCAGATATGGTTACAACTCATTAGGCCTACTTAAACTTGGTGAAAAGATGCCCACCTTTAATACATGATAGGTGAATGTTAATAGGGTGGATGGACTTTTTTAATTGCACAACTTCTGATCAGTCATTTACTTTTAATACTGTATACAATAGCTTAAGTGTAACTTGCACTTAATCTACTGCTAACAATTTGCACCACATATTGCAATGTCTCAAAATGTGGCATTATCAATGTTTTTTATTTGTGTGACAATTAAGACTGATTTGAATAAATATCTGTAGGCTTAGTTAGTGTCCACTCAAAATGTTTCATAAAGATGAAGGGCCTATCCAAATATCTTAAATGGATTTTTTTGTCCATTTAGGGGGGAGAAACTATGAATATAGAGATGTCATGGTTACTGTAGAGTGTAAATTAGCCATCCATGGGGGGGCTTAAAAATAATAAGTATTGTTTATGGGAAAGGCTTTAACAGATAATCCAGTAAGTTCATATTTATAAATACCGTAGTGATAGGTGAAATAAGAATTTGAATTTAGAACCACTTTTAAATGAGTTTTTTACCATTACGGGGAGCGCATCAAGGTGCCACCCGGACAACATGCCATCACGACAGCCTGGCACCACACATGTATCCCATGTGGGTGTTGTCGGGGCAACACTTGGTTGCTATAGGCCAAGTCACACGTACGCACTCGCCAGTAATTTCATCGTTGCAGTCACACTAGGCGACTAGTAGTAGCGAGTTACAGTGAAATGCTTCTATTGAGCTTCTAGTGTTTTAAAGCATTGCCATGTCATCAAAAGACGACTTCTCTTGTTTTTAGGTGTAAGAAAAATTTGTGAGGACCGAGGAGTTGCTTCGTAACACAAGGAATAAGAAGAATGAAGCGGGTATGGTATTTAATAGTAAGGAAGGAGACACTTATGAAAGAACTAGCGAGTAATCGTACTACAATATTAAAATAGTACCAAAATTCAATGAGTTTCTCGGCTACCAGCGACTAGTCGCTTCAAAAATAGACCATAGAAAGTATGTGTCAGAATGCTGATACCGTTTATTTTACATTACAATGATTATTAAAGTGTAATGTTTTTTCTTTTGATTTCAGGAATGCCTCTGCCAGCAACATGTCCGTACACCACTTCATCAAAATGCTGTCCTTCCAATAGTATGCAAACACCTTTTAAAAGGTGCCTGCAATATCCCGCCTACATGGAGAAAAAAGAAGCTAAGAAGAGGGAAATGGAAGAAGAAAAGGAAGGGCGGCGAATGGAAGGTATGGGGGTTTAGTGAGTGGGAGAAAATTTCGCGCCGTTCCGGCCAAACCTCGCATGCGGGGTTGGTTCGGCAGATTGGCCACAACCTAAACCCCAACTCTCACTTGTAAGCTGCGGAGAGCTACCTTCTGCCACTGGGTGTTGGTCCACCTACAGAACCAAGTGAGGGGGGCCCTAGACTAAGGTATAATGCGATCCATGCCAAGAGTCTTGTGGCACTAGGGGCCTAATATTCAGTGTCTTAACGGAGCCTTCTGGGAACCAGGGGTAACCCAGTCGTACACACCCCTTACCTATATAATCGGGTCACTGGGGAGGTGGACTTAAATACCCGGTATTCGTGAGAACAATGTAGACAGTCTGACCCAAATGGAGGAGGAAGGTCTAATGAAATCTGACGATGACGACAAGCTCGCAGAAACCGGAAAGGAACGAAAAACGACTTTCCAGGGGCGAGTTGCAAAGATGGAGGATAGCGGATGCTTTAGCCAAAGGCGAAAAGGTGCTATCCAGAAGTGAGAGGAGGCTGGTGTGGGCTGCCAAGCACCCTAACTCTGCTGCCTGCAAAGCCAGTTCCTCCGGGAACTAGGATGCTGGGAAAAAGCATCTAGCAAGGGTGGTACCCCCAAAGCTGACTCTAATGAAGCCTCCAGGAAGAAAGGTGGAGGCTGTGCTGACGCAGCCACAAAGGATTGGCTGGTCAAGCAAGTTCAGGAGCTGAGACATTTCGGGGAAATCTCGATACGGCTTTCCCCAGCCAGAGACCTTGTGAAAGCTGTGAAGGTATATTTATGTGCCCAGCCCTACAAGGTCTGCGTATGAGATCCCTCGTACGAAAAACGACTTTCCAGGGGTGAGTTGCAAAGACGGAGGATAGCGGATGCTTTAGCCAAAGGCGAAAAGGTGCTATCCAGAAGTGAGAGGAGGCTGGTGTGGGCTGCCAAGCACCCTAACTCTGCTGCCTGTAAAGCCAGTTCCTCCGGGAACTAGGATGCTGGGAAAAAGCAGGGCAAGGGTGGTACCCCCAAAGCTGACTCTAATGAAGCCTCCAGGAAGAAAGGTGGAGGCTGTGCTGACGCAGCCACAAAGGATTGGCTGGTCAAGCAAGTTCAGGAGCTGAGTCCTTTCAGGGAAATCTCGCTACGGCTTGCCCCAGCCAGAGACCTTGTGAAAGCTGTGAAGGTATATTTAGGTGCCCAGCCCTACAAGGTCTGCGTATGAGATCCCTTGGCCTATTGATGGGAGATCAAAGGGAAGAACAGGTCACCATGTTGTCAAGAGGCTCTCACGGTTCACCAAGGACCTGTGATTTGACGGAGAATGAGGACCTGTGAACGAGGGTGCACAATAAGCTGTTCTAGCTGCGATGCAATCCCATGGTAACTTGTAAGCCTGGCCCTCTATTAAAAAAAAAAAAAAAAAAAAAAAGGGCGGCGAATGATACGCGAAGTTAAGAAAAAGATAAAACAAGAAGGAATAATCAACAAACGACCAACAACAGCACCAGAGGATGACACTGACAGTGACTCCCAGGATGAAGAAATTCCCATTGTAGCCCCCAAGGACCTTGAAATCGCATTTTTGAAATCGTTATTTCATTGTGTTTAACACACTATTTTAATAGCACAACAACTGCCTGTGTGTAATATAAATTATCAACTCAGTTCACTATAACCTACACTTTACCTTCCTAATCTAACCTAACTTCAAAACACTTAATACAGTCACGAATCCGCATAAGCCCGACTTGCCTTCCACACATGTCTAAATAAAATCATTCTGAAATAAGTTATTCAGTGCCGTGTTGTTTCTTAGATGTTTGTAGCACGTGTAATTTAAATGACTTGATTGACTTATTATTCTCTTCTCTTCAATTTCGTATTTTCATTTTCATTTCAGGTTCAGTAATAGTTTTACAAGTAACAGTTAGTCCGTTCCGTAATTACGTAATGCGGCAAGCAGTAGCAGACTAGAATAAGATGGTAGATAAAGGAAATCAAAACAAATTATCTTAAGTTACCTTAGGCTAGTTAATATTTGTGGCCTCGGAGACATTTTTGCTATGTTATTTCCTGGTAAAAAGTGAGTCTTCTACTTTAATTACTTACAATTACTGAATATATCAAGTATCTGGAGAGAACATTTCATAGGCTTATAAATAGGTTAGGTCAAAAAAACAAAATAGGCCTACCGGTAGCCTAAATAAAACTTAAAACAGCCGAAACTCTGTTAATATTTGAGAGCGCGGAAACATTTTTGCACCATTATTTTCAGCTAAAAATCTAGTTTCTAGTGATATAAATCTATAGGCCTATAAGTTAGGTTCCCATGGTCACGTTCGTCGCAATAAATACCGTACCAAATTAAGTACATCATATCCCAATGTAAATAGGCCTACAGTAAATATTTGCCTAAAAAAGTATTAGGCCTAGTAGGGCCTTTTACCAGATAAGTTTAAACTGTTTAGGTAGGCCTAGGCCTATGCCTAGACTATTTAACTTATTAACCTAAGATTCAGAAATTGAGCCTAGAGCTAAGAATAGACCTAAGTTACAGCTGATTTAGACTAGACAGATCGAGATGAATAAAGACATCGATATTTAGAATTCATAGGGCTAACATGAATAATCCAATTACACCATGATCCAATAGGCCAAGGCCTAGGTAGGCCTGAGCTTAAAAATGGTTCAATAAGTTAAGTAAGTTTAGGCTATCCACGTTATAATTCTGTAAATACATGAATCTTCAAGCTGTCTAAGCATGAAGAGAAGAATTTTTTCAAGTAATGCAAACACCGGTGATAGATACAATCCAGGAAGAATACCTATTTAATGTTCATGGCTTAAAATACCTTTTTCAGCACCGTCGGAATATGACTAATGTGCTAAGTTACCTGATATAATTAAGATTTTCACGCCACTTCTTGTGGAAACACTGATTTAGAAGTAAATTCGTGTTTATTAAATCCAATCCAGGTGTATATTTCGCCTTTTATTGAATTAAAGAAAATCTTTTCTGCAATAATATTGATGAGCCCACACAAAATGGCCGCTACTTAAGATGATTAATACAAAAATTGTAACTTTGTTGGATAGATAATGGTGCGTAAAATGAAAATATCTCTGAGCACAAAGCAATAAAATGTTATAATATAAGTTACAAATGCGTTAAAATTTACCTTAACACATCAGCAGCATTAAATAAAAGTATATTTGACGTTACTAACACACTGTAAACACTTGATCAAAAGGAACTTTTCTTTTGACTTAACTAACTGGTGTGGTGGAGCCACTGGAGCCGGCGGACAAGGGCGTAGGAATCACAATACAATATCGTTTTTCACCAAATTTAAGATCAAGTACTTCACATGACATTTTAAGGAGATTTGAAAATTTGAAGTATATTTTGTAATGAAAAATTACAATCTTGATGAACGAAACATGTAAAACATAGAGTATTTTACATTCTTTTAAGAACTACTTTTTTGTTAAATCAGCTGTGAGGTAATAGAACACGACCATTTTAATTTTCAGTTTTCGTTGACACTGTTGTATTGCGTGGAGAAGACGATAAAGAAGGATTCGGCGGAACAGTACTGATATACAAGTATACAAAACATGTAATGAATAATTATGGAATCAGCATAATATTTTATGAGGTTGCGTGTTTTATAATAGGCGATATTTTTATACTTAACATTGCCAAAAAGTATGAAACTTGTGTATGTAAACAGTTTTATCAATTCGTTTTTGTGTAGTATCGGATCACTTAAAAATATAAATAAAAGGTTAATTTACCTCTTATTTAAAGTTTTAGTATGCGCACTATTTGGCCAGACAGGAAATTGATAGCCGAAGCCTCCGGACCATATAAGAGGTGCGCAGCATACATCCCTATAGAGACATAATTTTTTTAATACTTCCACTTTCTCTCCCTGATACCATATCATACACGCCACCTTTAACTCCAAGCGTAGTAAAAAAAATAGCGTAGCGAAAAACAAGATAACCTGAAAAGAAGTGGGCGCAGCGCGAACGAGCTCCAACCTAAAGGTGAGTGAGCGTAGCAAACGAACTTCAACCGGGACGTGATTGAGCCATGCGAATACTTATGAAGTCAAACGGGGCAAAGCCCGTGGGTACAGCTAGTAAATGTATATTCATACATTAAATTTGAATCAAATATGTGCGAATTAATCAGCTGATTTAACCGAGGATGAACAGGAAAAATGCGAACTATTTGCGAAGCATCTGGGATCGGTTTACTCTACTGCATCAGACACAACCCCCTCTTTTGACTTTTACTCAGTGAATACCATCTGCAGTGTTAGTCTCTTACTCGCTGAGGTCAGGCTCAAGTTATCTCAACTGGATGGTTCAAAGCACAGACAATGGTATTGTCTGTGGTTCAAAGGGTGCGGCCCCCGGCAACATACCACCTTCATTGTTGCGCTTTGGCTGCGATCTGCTAGCTGAACCATTGCAATTATTATTCAACCAGTCCTTGGCCGAAGGCATATTTCCTGCAGCCTTTAAGCATGGGTATGTCGTTCCCCTTCCTAAATCTGGTGATCACAGTGATATTACCGCCCTACCACTATCACTAGTTTTCCCCTTAAAGTTGATTCTATTGTTGGCTTATGGATATTTTAAGGAATTATTTGTATATTTTACAAAACCTCATATATATTATATCTCAGTGATTCAGAAAAACAACATACAGCATGAAGCTATCACTATCCTTTTTTGCACTTGGTAAAGTATTCGAGAGCTTGGTTCTGCACAGACTGAAGATCTTCATCGAAGTCGAAGGTATTATCTCCTCAAATCAACATGGTTTTGTCGCCAAAAAATTTACAATATCGAATTTATTATTGCTTCAAAAGAGAGCTCTGTCCACCTTTAGAGCAGGTCGCCAGCTAGACGTCGCCTATATCGACTTCGCCAAAGCGTTCGGCAAAAAAGTAGACCACAAGATCCTCGCGACAAAGTTTAAAGAACTATGGCATTCTACAACCACTACTTGGCTGGCTGGAGGACTACTTAACTGGGCGCAAGTTGACTGTCAGGCTTGGGCCTTCGCAATCGCAACCATTTCACCAGACCTCGGGTGTACCACAAGGCTCACATTTGGGACCCTACCTAATTAATTTGTTCATCAAACGATCTAGTGGCTTCTATCGAGGTTGGATGTCTCGCGTTTGCTGATGATCTCAAGGTGTTTGCGGAGGTTAAGACGGAAGAGGACTCAATACGCCTTCAAATATGCCTTAACAGTGTCTTTGTCTGATGCAAAGTCAACAATAAGATGGAAATCAATCCTGGAAAATGCTAAATATTACCCTAATAGCACAAAATATCCATCAAACATTCAAATATGGTTTAAAACATCCATCGATGTTTTTGGATATTATTAAACGTTTATTAAACATCCAAACCTTAAACCTAAATTAATATTTGAGTTAGATATTTGGCAAACGTTGAATAGAGGTTTAATTTTGTTTGTTAAAATATCTAATTCTTATTTTATCTTGGATGATCATTAAACGTTTGATAAATGTTTAACTAAATGACATTTGCAGAGGTTTCTGGGTAAATTTTATCCCGTGAGGAAGAGGACCTTGTGAGTGACCGGTACGGTGGCCGCCATTTGCAATCGACCTCACTGCTAGCTTGACTGATTCACTTCACTTTCTCTTTAAAAACGTTATTTCTTTTTACTTTAGTTCAGACTTTGTTTGTTGGTTTGTTCCATTCTAGTGCAGTATTCCACACACTTTATAAAGTTCAAGTTTAGTTTATTAGTTCAAATGTTCCAATCAATTCTGCTGCTAGACTGAGACTCGAGACTACTGTAACGTTGACTGTTACCTCACCTCACTGGTAAGAATTATTGACTTTAATTATTAAATTGGTAGCCTCTTTGGCCCTCGCCAAAATGCCGTGGGCGGTTGTTGAATTTTTGACTAGTGAAGAGGTGGAGGCAGTGCCTCGAAACTGGATAATTAAACATGAGGACAATCTAAACCTTCCATCGTTCCAAGTATCCAGACATCTTCATATGTACATGCTCGGAGAGGACAGTATTCCTAGAGTCACGTCCACAAAAGATTTGGGGGTGATATTCAGCAGCGATCTGAGTTTCGATGAGTATATAAACTCTATAGTCATCAAGGCTAACAGGCTGGTTGGTTTCATCTCCCGTTCTACCAAAGGTATGAATAACCCATCTGCATTGAAAACTCTGTATTGTGCAATGGTGAGACAGTGTCTGGAGTATGCTTCCCCGATCTGGACTCCGTATACAGTTGGTGGACGCATTCGTCTAGAAGCAATCCAGGAAAGATTTTTGAGGCTGGTGGGAGTGCGTCAGGGATACCCCTATCGGGAGGTGCCAACGGATGTTCTGGCTGAGGAGCTGAAAATCCGGCCATTACACATTAGGTGCAGCGTTGCTGATGTTGGTCTCTTGTACAAGCTGCTTAGGGGCCATATATGCTGTCCAGAGCTGCTATTAGAAATATACATCAGAATCCCTACCATAACAAGATCCAGGGACCTATTCGGCCGTCGCTCCAGAGGCACCACTTACGAATTTCACAGTCCTCTGGCAAGAATCCTCAGGCTGGGCAACAGAGTTGCTCGTGATGTCAACTTCTTCGCCGACAGCTACACCTCCATAAGGAGGACAACCGAAGCAACCCTGGTGGAGATGTTGGACTAGCCTCAACGCCTCTATTGTTATATATATTCTTTGTTAAACAATTTATATTGTTGTATTTGCTCTTTGTTATATTTATTATTGTTATATCTATTATTCTTAACTTATTCATTGTCAGATTATTTATTGTATTCTATTGAGTATTGTATTGTTCAGCTTGTTTTTTTTATCTATGTATTTTGTATTCCATTGAGTATTGAATTATTGACTATTGTTCAGCTTGTTTTTTCATCTATGTATTGGCTTACCCGGTTGGCATGTATAAATAAATAAAAACTCACATTGTCCTTATCTTTAAAATTTACAGGATAAATAAAAAAAAAACGTGTCATTAATTATCCTGACAGTGAATTATTATGTTTTGTTTCATCCTAAGTGAAAGATATATGTGTCTTTGTGTATTATTGCATGTCTTTACGTCCTAATATGTGTAGTTTTTGAGAAAAATAAGTTTTAAGTTTGGATAAAGTAAGTTTTGCCCTGACACAAATGGATAAAGTTAGTTTTGCTCTGACGCCTATGGATAAAGTTGGTTTTGGAAAGACAGTATTCACACTAGGATTGCATAGCACTAATCAGTTTGGTTATTGGTTTTAAACAATAAAACAAAATATTAAGATAATAGACCTAATGCTATGGCTTGTATTAACCTTATGTTCTCGTATATTTTTCTAATTGAGGTGGTACTTACTGGAAAAGTTATAAGATTATAAACATACAGTTTCATGATTTTTCTATATTTTACAGTAAAAGAATTACCATACAGAAGTACACAGGTCATTAGACGTTCTCTGGACTAATGTTAAAATGAAAAGTGAGAAAATTACTTATGTTAACATCTTTCAAATTAATTGATTGGTACTTTAAGAGCATGAGCACCCTTCTAAACTACAAAACTGTCATCTGAGCATTATTGCACTGAAAGAATGAAGATCTCAGCCACTAGTCAGACGACAGAGTCAAAATGATGACAACAAAGTCACATGGCCGATTTCCGCCCACCGATGGGAAAGAGGATAAAGATGGTTTTGGAAAAACACAAAATACAGCCTCCTATTTGCTATGTGATTGATTATGTGAGTTTTCGAATGATACAACCGAAATAAAGTGAGTTTTGGAAATGACACACGCACTTTTTAACATTAAATATTAGTAGGATTACACAAGCTTTGACACGGTATCTTATAACGAATAAATGCGCCTTTTTCTGCTGATTGCAGTGATACCAACAACTCAATTTCGAAAAAAAATGGATAAAGTGAGTTTTGGAATGGACCGCCTCACTTGGCATAAAATACAGCTACTTTGTATGGTCGCAATTTCATTGAAAAGTATTTAAGTATTAATTTGGTGGCATAGCTAAAATTTATAAAAACTTTTTTTGGGTCAATATGCAGGATATTTTAAATTTATCCTTAATAAATTACAGATTGCCGTCCATTGCCATAAACCACAAACAAGTTAGAAAACTAAACTGAATTTAGTTAGTGCAGCTTAATGGCGACTAAATTTAGCCACCTACAAATCACCAGCTAATGCGGTTTGGTTACAGTACAGACACTGTCATAG